TCCATCCTGGGGACAAGTGGGCTGCAGCCACTGTGCTAATCCCAGACTACAGGGTTGCAGCAGCATGCCCCAGGCACACCCCCAGAAGTCCTTGCAGGCCCAAGCATGAGACAAGTGGCAGCATCAGCTTGGCTTACTCCCCCACCCTGCACCACGCCTGCTGGACACCCCACCCTGGGTTTATTGCTGCTATTTCCCTTCCTGCTCTCCTACTAGAGAAGTGGGCTCTGCCACCATCAAGCAAGGGGTCTGGGGGGACTTTGACAAGCTCCCTCCCACCCCAGGCACTGTAAGGAGCCCTGGGGGGGATCCATCCACTGCCCATCCTTTCCATCCACACTCCTCCAGCTCTGCAGAGCCCAGCTGGGCAGCTGTAGTATCCCCTACCCCAGAGTGTGCTGAGAGGGAACCCAACCAGGCACCACTGCACCCTGACCAACCCTGTTCCAGTCCTGAAGTCAGGATGCTTGATGTCATCTCAGGGTTCCCAGCAGCACTGCCAGCTCAGCTGCACTCAGAGCCTGGGGATCCCCAGGGTTGTCCCAGCCCACAGCAGGACTTTTCTTTGGCTGCCAGCACAAGGGTGGGTGCAGGGCCCTGGCACTGCTGGATCAGGGTGAGGTGTATAGAAGATGCTCGTCAGCAGGCCCAAGCCCTGAAGTACAGAAGGCTTTTTTTGCCTTTTGTATTTGATTATAAAAACTGTGTGGGATCACCCTTCTCCTCCGTGAGCTGCAGCGCACTGTGGGGGTCTGGACAGGCACCCTACGTCCCCTCCCCGTCACTGTCCACCCTTCCTCTGCCAAGCTCTATCCTGCTGGGTTCTGTCCACCGCAGGTGCCTATAACTTCTCTGCAGTCACACCCACACTTCTCCCTCAGGGATACCCAGAGATGAGATGTCAGACACCTCTCTCCTTCTGGCAAGCTGGAGCAAACCCAATGGGGGACAAGCAGTTGCGCATGCTGCCCTCGGGGCGGGCAGACCCCTGCCAAGGGGCTGAGCGCCCTGTACCCCAGTCCACAGCGGGGAGCAGTGGTGGAGGAGGATCTTGCACTGCCCCCCCGTGGCCACCACGGGAGATGCAGGTGGCCGCAAATCCCAGCTGGGTGCCTTTGCTTTTGTTCGCTCCAGCAAAGCCCGAGAGAGGCAGTCCTCAAAGAGGTGTTCACCCCGTGCCAGGCCATCTGTGGCCCAGACCCCTCAGAGTGATTTGGTGACCCCAGTCCTGCCCCACCTTCCCCGGACCCCCGACTCCTGCACCCAGACCCCAACCTGTGCTACCTCTGATGGGGCCAGACCCTAGCACAGAGTCCCAGGGTCCCACGGTGCACAGCCTGAGCCCACGCCTGGGAACGGCCCACATGAAAGAGCAGACGAGGCAGCGCTGCTGTTTGGGCATCCACATTTATTTCACGGCTGAGGCAAGCCTGGGGCTGCCATTCACAGGGGCCCCTCTAGTCAAGGCAATGACCCGTCCTCCTTAAATACCGGTTATAAAACGAATTTCTTTTTTTTCCTTTTTCTTTTTCTTAAAAACCCCATCTCCCCCTCTCTCTCTCCCCTCTCCATACTTTTTTGTCTTTTGTATTTGAGTATAAAAGTGGGGGCGGGTGCTCCGCCTCGCCTGCTGCTACCTCCGCAGGTTGCGCTGTGCCTGCCGCAGCAGCGTGTCGAAGTCCAGGGAGTCAAACTTGCTCTTCACAGGGGCCGGGTCGAAATCCTCCCGGTTTGAGTCTGGAAGACACAGGGAGAGGCTGCCTGGAGCCATGGTGACACTGGCCACAGTTCTGGCCATCCCCACAGCAACTTCTCCCCATCTCGCTTCGCATGCCAACCTCTAGACCCAGAGCTGAGCTGGCTGAGGACCGGACATGGCCTCCATCCCAGCGCTGGAGGGATGGGGAGCCCCTGTCCAACCTCCCCTCAGGGCAGGGCTATCCCTGGGCATGGCCCTGTCCGGTCAAGTCTGAAGGACCCCAAGGATGGGGACCCCAACAGCTCTGGGAAGGAGAGAGGATGCAGGGTGCCACCTCCCGAATCAGGGTCTGCGTGACTCACCCAAGTCGGCATAGTTCCTCCTGCAGAACTGCCGGCGGCCGCCGAAGCACAGGTCGAAGGGCTGCTCATCCGGGCGCCGCAGCTTGTGCCCACTCTCGATGGCAGCAAAGGCTTCCTCGGCATAGCGGTAGGTGACAAAGCCGTAGTTGTCCCTGGCGACAGAGAAGAAGGAAGGAGATGAGCAGCAGCACGGTATGTTCGTCCCTCCTCGGTCTGCACCGTCGCCTTGAGGAATGGGAAAAAGTCCGAGAGGAGGCAGCACGCCGGCCCCCGCCCCCGCAGCGCTTACCCCTCGGAGCGGAAGTGCAGCGTGCACTCCTCGATGTCCCCGAACACGGAGAAGCGGTGCCGCAGCTCCGACCGCGTCATCCTGCTGGGGATCTTGCCAATGAACACCACTCGCCGCTCCTCCTGCGGGCAGGGATGCGCCGGCCCGTGAGAGGGAACGGGGGGCACTTGGTGTCTCCGAGCCCTCCCAGTGAGCAGGACCCCTCGCTCAGAGCACCCTTCCTGCATCGCCACCCACAACACCGTGCCCTGGGCAGAGCCTCCCAGCAACGCTGCAACCCCATGGCTTGCTGGGGTGATGAAAGGGATGTGAACGTCCAGATCTCCAGCCCCAGCTTCCCAGCCCACCACCACTCACTATTGCACGTTCCTTCTGGAGGATCCTCTGCCTTTGGTAGTGGTCCTGTGCATCGTAACTGTATCTGGCGGGGCAGAAACCGGACTTGTAAGATACAGGGTCATGGTGGGATGTAGAATAGTGTGATCCCAGATGCAGGGGAGATACTGAAGGAGCGGGTCCACCCCTGCCCGGGACACAGGAGGCCAGATGGGCTGGGGGAGCTCACACTCCTGCACGCTCACCTTCTCCACCTGTTACTCCTCCTGCGGGGTGAGGGGGAGCGGGACTGGCTGCGGGACGTGGACCTGGATGAGTAGGAGGATGCCGATGACGAGGATGAGGACCTGTCCCGGGACCTGCCACATGAACCACAGCTGGAACGGGAGGAGGAGCTGTGCGAACATCTTGAGCGGTACCTAGGGGAAGGAGAGACACAGCTCAGCGACACGTCCTTCCCATACCCAACACCGTGAGGCTCCAGAGAAGAAAAGGCCCTTCACCCTCCTCACGGTACCCAGCAGAACCCATCCCTAGGGTGGGCTGGGTTATGGAAACCTCCACCCATTTGCTGGGGCAGTAACGACACTAAAGAGATGTTGCCCTATTTGGCTCCAAACACCACAGCAAAAAGGGAGCAGGCTCACAACAGGTACAGCCCCTGAAGAGCAAGAAGTAGTCACAAAGGAACCATGCAGCACATGGCTGTGACCAGGCAAGGGCCCAGGAGGGGCCGTGCTGAGACCCACATGGTGCACAGTATGACACTGGAGCCACCACACCCGCACAGCACTGAACAGCTATGCAAATGGAGACCATACGTGTCCCTGAACACACCAAGGCCCTTTTCAGCTCCAGCCTCCACACCTGCTGACCACCAATGGAAGGGCCTTAGCTGGACAAGCCCTTCATGCCCAGTGACCTAGGATGTCTCCAGATGTGGCTGAACATGCAGCAAAGGGTGGATGAGGTATCCCTTGCCAGCTCTGGTGCCTCACACCCAGCTGGGATAAGCTGTGCATTGTTTGGATGCACAAGGACTCCAAAAGAAATGCAGCCCACAGAGACCAAGCTGCCCCACTTTCCTACACAGCCACCTCCACAAGGAGTGTGGAGAATCCCCAAGGCAGCCAAGGCAGACAGGTTTTTCTCTGCTTGCCTCCAGCGGCTCCCTGTGGCTCCTTCTCATTTCTACATCTAGGGCTGCACCAGTTCCACAGCACAAACACCAACACCTGCGATAATTCTCCAGAAAGCATCCGAAAGCCGAGGTGCAGCCAAGGACTCACGCCATGGTCTTCCAGGAGGAGTAAGGAAGCCTGGCTCAGTGGTGGCTTTGCAGGCACACCTGTGCCCAGATGTGGGGTTCAGCCAGACACCCACTGGCAGGGTGTTGCAGCAGCTCCCACGGTCTCTGCAAGCCAGGCACCCCTTCAGAAGGGCCACAAGGACAGAAAGATCAAATACAGCCATTAAGTAGGTCCATAAAGAGGTGTCTGGGCATCCTCACAGAAGGCTGGCCACCAGGCAATCACCCAAAGAGCAAGCAGACAGACTCTCCCCCGCCTACCTTCGCCATCGCTTGGGCGGTGGGGAGAACGACCGTGACCGCGATCGGGAAGAGGAGGAAGAAGATGAAGACGAGGACTCGCTAGCTCCATCTGAACTGGAGCTGAAAGAACGGCTGGCACGGCTCCGG